AGAGGTCGGGCAGCAGCTATTCAAATTCACCCAGGCACTCAATCATAGGCAAAACAATGCCCCTTCCACTTCCTCTTCCTCTCAATTACAGTCAATCCCAGTCAAACAATGCCCCTTCCTCTCCCTCTCTCAATCAGCCAGGACTCTGCAACAACTCTAAGTGCTTCCACACACTGCTAAACACAGTTTTCCCACACAATATCCCCAGCTGAATCCCTTCAGCTGAAAGCAAGTAAAGAAAACACTCACCCCCTCTAGAAGCTCTCTCTCCTGCTCCTGCTCAGAGCTCAGCTGGGTCTCCTCTTCTTGAATTACAACTGAACTCTGGACAGTATAGTTCCCCTGGAAAAAACAGCTGTTTTGGAGACTGAACTCTGTAGCCTTATAATGTTGGGTCTAAGAATTCACAGCCCCAGAAAACTCCATTTCCCAGGGTTCCCCTGGATGAGAAGGCAGGACAGATTATCCCTACTCTACACCTACAACAGGTGCTCAGATCACATAACTTCCTCCCTTTCTGTCAACCACCTCTCATGAAATAAGCTGCCATTTTAGAAGAAGAAGAAGAGGAGGAGATTGAATTTATACCCTGCCCTTCACTACCCAAGGGAGTGTCAGAGTGGCTTACAAACTCCTTCTCCTCCCCCTCCCCACAACAGACACCCTGTGAGACGGTGGGGCTGAGAGAGCTCTGACAGAAACTGCTCTTTTTTCAAGGACAGCTCTTGTCAGAACTACGGCTTTCCCAAGGTCATCCAGCCAGGTGCAAATGGAAGAGTGGGGAATCCAACACGGTTCTCCCAGATTAGAATCCGCACACTTAACCACTGCACCAAACTGGCTCGCTTTCCTGCACTCTTCTCCTCTCTGGTCATCCAGCTTGCTTGACTAAAGAAACTGCCCGTCCCCAGAGGCTCATGGGTAAACCTAGCAAGACACCCACGTCGATCTCCCCCTTCCTAGCTGCTGCTTGGTCCCCTTACTGATCTCAGCTGCATTACTGGCCATTGCCCTCGCAACCAACAGAACGGCCAACTCCATCCTCCTCTGGTGGGTCTTGGTGGCTCTGCCACCATCTCCCCCTCATCTTGCCTGGGGGCTTGTCTGTTTTGAGAGTATTGACCCCTCTACATTTTTCACTAGATGCCTAGGTTATACCTTATCAGAGATGAGGCCGTGGCAGCTATCCTTTGGGGCCAGCCAGCTATCCTTTGGGGCTCTTCTCATCTTAGAATCATAGAACGTTAAGAGTTGGAAGGGACCTTGCAGGTCATCTAGTCCAACCCCCTGCACTCTGCAGGAGCGTAGCCGAAAGAGAGCCCTACAACATACCCGAAAGATGGTCGGCCAGCCTCCGCTTGAAAACGTCCAGCGAAGGAGCATCCACCACCTCCCGAGGCAGACTGTTCCACTGCTCAACCACTCTTACAGTTAGGAAGTTTCTCCTGATATTTAGCCAGTATCGAATCCTTTGTCATTTCCACCCATTCGATCTAGTCTTGCAATCCGGAGCAAGAGAGAAGAGATCTGTTCCATCTTCTACATGACAGCCCTTCAGATACTTGCAGACTGCAATCCTGTCCCCTCTAAGCCTTCCCTTTCCCAGGCTAAACGTACCCAACTCTTTCAGCCTTTCCTCATAAGACTTGGATTCCAACCCTCTCACCATCCTGGTTGCCCTCTTCTGGACACGCTCGAGCTTGTCAACATCCTTCCTAAAATGTGGTGCCCAAAACTGGACACAGGACTCCAGGTGAGGCCTGACCATAGCAGAATAGATCTTCATCTGGATCTGCTCGTTTTCACCATTCAGTGGCTTTGATACACTGTGGGAGCATTCAAAAATAGAACTGCAGATGGAAGTGGTGTGGTCCAAAATCCCCCCACCTTGTTCTGTGCAGCCCGGTCCTCCGTCACACAACTTGTCATTCCACCCGTGAGCTCCTCAGGTCTCAAATATCCAGCCCTCCAAAGCACCAGCCTTGTCGATCTAGTGTTTGTCAAAAAGTCCCTAGGAGGTTTCCAAGACAAGAGCCAGAACCCGAATTCCATGTAGCTGGGTGCACTTAATCAATGGCATAACATCTGTTTCCCTCCACCTTGTTTACCAGTTGCTGAGGTGTTACAGAGGTCATACCTAAGACACCTTCTTTGTGTATCACGCTCCAACATCAGCTCCCGGGGTTGGTGCCAGATGTGACAAAATTGCCTGTATGTTCTGGTTTTGTGCAAAGCAGGAATTGACTGTTGGGACTGCTACGAAACATATGTTCCGACTGCAACGCGGCCTCAGAGATTAAGGGCACAATCCACGGAGAAATTTCTCTGCTGAGGACCCGTCGACATTAATGGGAGTTAAGCAGAGCCTTGGCCTGTGGGGCTGACACGGGAGAACTTCCTGGGGGATTCTGCCCTGATTAATTCTCCCTCTAATTCTGAAGCTCAGTGCCTTGACATTACGATGATGAATGCCCAAAGATTCCCTAGGGGTCACACCTCAGAGCGGTCTCTGCAGCAGCAGACACACCGGCTGCTCTTAACAGCACTTTTGCAGGTATCATTGTCAGCGTTCCTACCACGCAATAAAGCAGGGCTCACTCAGCCAGGGGGACTCACTTGGGTCTGGCTGGGAGAAAATAACCACGGTAGGGATGTCTTTTGGAGTTAAGATTCCCAAAATTCCTTTTTGCGGGTGGCTCCAGGAACATAAAGGAGCTGCGGTGGCTCAAGTGGTTAAGACGCTGAACTGCAGGCTGTGGAAGGTCAGTAGTTCAGCGGTTCGAGACCCGAGTGTGCCGCATGACGGAGTGAGCTCCCGTCTCTAGTTCCAGCTCTTGCCAACCTAGCAGTTCGAAAGCAAGACATTGCAAGTAGATAAATAGGTACCACTTGGGTGGGAAGGTAACAGCGTTCCGTGCACCTCGGCATTTAGTCACGCCGGCCACATGACCACGGAAACGTCTTCGGACAGCGCTGGCTCTTCGGCTTTGAAACGGAGATGAGCACCGCAACCCTAGAGTCGGACTCGACTGGCTTTCGAGCAAGGAAACCTTTACCATTACCTTTACCAGGAACAGAGCCCCCGGTCTGAATTTTCCCTAAGGACAACTGGACGTACCATGCCCCATTCCCCTATAACCATTGTCCATCGTTAAAGCTGAGACCAACCCAAATAGACCAGGAGGCCGGCACCCCTTTCTGGGCCCGACTGTGCCAGCCACGAAACCCCTTTGCCTGTAAGGAGAGAAGACGGACGCTGCCACTCACGTGTTGCCAGTAGTCGATGATGAGCGGGCGGTACCGCAGGAAGAATTTGAGGGGGAAGGAATCAGGATCGGGCCACGTTGAAGGGTACTGCCACGTCACCAGCAGTCTGCGGGGGTTGTTGGGGACTGGCTTTGCCACCACGTTCTCCGGAGGGTCCGGCTTTACTGTTCAAAGAAACAGGACATGGGAGGAGAAGGGGGGGGGAAGTCTTGGTGAGAGAAGCATCATGTTGCCGACGCTGCCTCCAAACTACATTTCCCAGCGTCCCTGGGCAATGCTCCCTCTAAGCTGTGGAGTCTTGTGAGCAAAAATTCCACTTTGTGAGCTACTGGGCATTAAAGTTGTGAGCGAGTGACTCGGCTACTGCATACATTAGTTTGCTCTGGAGCCCTCCTTCCTGAGCCGAGACAAAAATGTGTGAGCCAGAGGCTAAAAAACTGTGAGCTGGCTCACACCGACTCGGCTTAGAGGGAACGCTGGTCCCTGGTAGCTACAGTGTTTCAAGAAAGGTTGCCAGCCTCCAGGTGAGGCCTGGAGACCTCCCGGAATTAGAACTGATCTCCAGGCAATTTAGATCAATTCCTTTGGGGAAAATGCTGCTTTGGAGAGTGGACTTTATGGAATTATCCCCCACCGAAGCCCCTCCCCTCCCTATACCCCTCCCCTCCCCAGGCTCCACCCCCCCATCTCCAGGTATTTCCCAACCCAGAGCTGGCAACCGTAGTCCCATGAATGGGGAAGGGCAGGGAGAGCTGCAGCTACTGGAAGAGCTGATGGCAGAGGTGAGTTCACTCCATCCGGGCCCCCAAATAGGGAGGGAGTTGGACGGAACGTGCCCGGGTACCTGAAAAGGGGAGGATTTATTTCTGGACCCCTCCCCATTCTGCCACATGATTCTGCCACGGCATGAGAGCTGCTGAGCATCAGCCAGGCCACAAAACACAGCTGGAAGGAAGTTGGACCGGTTGGCTCACAGCCAAGGCAGGCGTGCACCAACAGGAATCTTTTCTAACTACCACGAAGGAAGGAAGGAAGGAAGGAAGGCGAATAGAAGGAAGGCAAATAGAAGGAAGGTAAATAGAAGGAAGGAGCTGCAGTGGCTCAAGTGGTTAAGACGCTGAACTGCAGGCTGTGGAAGGTCAGTAGTTCAGCGGTTCAAGACCCGAGTGTGCCGCAAGACAGGGTGAGCTCCTGTCTCTAGTTCCAGCTCCTGCCAACCTAGCAGTTCGAAAGCAAGAAATTGCAAGTAGATAAATAGGGACCACTTCGGTTCCGTGCGCCTTGGTGTTTAGTCATGCCGGCCACATGACCACGGAAACGTCTTCGGACAGCGCTGGCTCTTCGGCTTTGAAACGAAGATGAGCACCGCAACCCTAGAGTCGGATTCGACTGGCTTTCGAGCAAGGGAACCTTTACCTTTACCTTTAAATAGAAGGAAGGCAGGAAGGCAAATGGAAAGTAGGAAGGAAGGAAGGAAGGCAAATGGAAAGTAGGAAGGAAGGAAGGAAGGCAAATGGAAAGTAGGAAGGAAGGAAGGAAGGCAAATGGAAAGTAGGAAGGAAGGAAGGAAGGCAAATGGAAAGTAGGAAGGAAGGAAGGAAGGCAAATGGAAAGTAGGAAGGAAGGAAGGAAGGCAAATGGAAAGTAGGAAGGAAGGAAGGAAGGCAAATGGAAAGTAGGAAGGAAGGAAGGAAGGCAAATGGAAAGTAGGAAGGAAGGAAGGAAGGCAAATGGAAAGTAGGAAGGAAGGAAGGAAGGCAAATGGAAAGTAGGAAGGAAGGAAGGAAGGAAGGAGGACTCGAGCACCTGGAGGGTGAGGATCCCATAGAGAGAGAGCTCTCTAAATTCGGAGCTCCACTGCAGGGCCAGAGGCTGTGCTGCGTTTATCAATGCTGGCTGGACAGCCAGGACACATGCAGCTGCAGGTGTCTGGGAGATGTGGCTTTTCCAACAGGAGAAGAAGAAGAAGAAGAAGAAGTAGAAGAAGAAGAAATTGGATTTATACCCCGCCCTTCACTACCCAAAGGCATCTCAGAGCGGCTTACAAACTCCTTTCCCTTCCCCTCCCCACGACAGACACCCTGTGAGGTGGGTGGGGCTGAGAGAGCTCTTTGAAGAACTGCCCTTTCAAGGACAGCTCTTGTCAGAACTACGGCTTGCCCAAGGTCATCCAGCCAGATGCAAGTGGAGGAGTGGGGGAATCAAACCCAGTTCTCCCAGATTAGAGTCCGCGCACTTAACCACCACACCAAACTGGCGTGGGTTACAAATTAAATAAACTCCTTACCCTTCCCCTCCCCACCACAGACACCCTGTGAGGCAGGTGGGGCTGAGAGAGCTCTTGACAGAAATGGCTCTTTTTTAAGAACAGCTCTTATCAGAACTTAGGGCTTGCCCAAGGTCATCCAGCCAGGTGTGAGTGGAGGAGTAGGGGAATCAAACCCGGTTCTCCCAGATTAGGGTCCCCGCACTTAACCGCTACACCAAACTGGCTCTCAAAAGAAAACAAGAGGCATTCCCTTCCATACATTGTGTCTCCCTCTGGCTCAAAGGGACAACCTACCTTCTGCTTACTGAGGCCACAGGCAAAAGAGGCTCACAGCCTCACTTGCCAAATGTTCCCTCTAAGCTATGGAGTCTTCTGAGCAAAAATTCTACTTTGTGAGCTACTGGCATTAAAGTTGTGAGCGAGCGATTTGGCTGCTGCATAAATCTGTTTGCTTTGGAGCCATCCTTCCTGAGCTAAGACAAAAATCTGTGAGCCGGAGGCTAAGAAATCTGTGAGCTAGCTCACACCAACTCAGCTTAGAGGGAACTATGGCCCAGTCTGTTTAGCCTGGAGAGGAGATGACTGAAAGGAGATGTCTTCGAGCACTTGAAGGGCTGTCATGTAGAGGACGTCGCGGAGTTGGTTTCTGTTGCCCCAGAAGATTGGGCCAGAACCAACGGGTTGCAATTAAATCAAAAGAGGTTTCGACTAAACATCAGGAAGGGCTTCCAGTTAGAGCAGTTTCTCAGTGAGAGGGAGGGCAGGAAGGGGTGAGCCAGTGCTCCGCTCTCGTGGCCCTTTCTAATAGGTCCAGGGCAATGCTGATCACCACTTTGGGGGCCAGGAAGGAATTTTCCTCCAGGCCAGATGGGCTCGGGGATCCAGGAGACTTTTTGTCTTCCTCTGGGCACAGAGCAGGGGTCACGTGGGGAGTGAGGTGGGGGAGCTGTGAATTTCCTGCATTGTGCAGGGGTTTCGGCTAGATGGTCCCTTGGGGTCCCTTCCAGCTCTATGTTTTTACGGCCTGCATCGTTCTCCAGCCGGTCTCTCACGTGAGCAAGTCCAAGGGCATATCCGGAGCTGAGTCATCTCCATTTGGGACTGACCAAGCCAAAAAGGTGGGTGGGCGCCCCATTTGCATCAGGACTAATGTCCCTCCATCGCCTGTGCAGGGGGGAGTGGGAAGGGGTGTGTGTGGGGGGGGACACACACTGGTTGCGTGGACTCTGAGCGTCTCCAGATGACTGGGGTGGACATCGGCTTCCACTAAAAGGGCCTCTGAGCACATTGGGAAAGTCATAAATCCAAGCCCGGCCGTGCGGGCTTCCTGGATTTTGGCTTCCAGCGGAACGAAGCACTTGTGGAGTTGAGCGGACCCCGATGACTCCCGAATACAGCTTAGTGTCAGCTCCGCAGGAGATGGCGTGATGGGGGAAAGGCTCAATTGTGCGCGCCAACTTTTTCCAGCCGTTTGCACCGCAGGTGTTTTGCGGAACGCATTCTGGCCAACTTCCCCTCCCCTGGTGTCAATCCAGCGCTAGTTTTAAGCCACAGTAATTTAACTAGGGCAAAGGCCTCTGATAGCACGGTGGAAACTACCGGGGGGGGGATAAAACAGATGCGGGGGGGGGCTTTTATATGAATGGGCGTAGGATGCCGGATGAGCACAACAACTGCTGGATCAGACCGAACTGTCCATCTGGACCTGCATCCGGTTTCCCACAGTGGCCAAACAGATGTTACAGAATGGCTACCAGCAGGATACAAAGGCAAAAGGCCTTCTCTGTGGCTTGCCCCTTCATCACCGACTGGCCCCCCCAACACCTCGTCCCTCGGAACGGTGCCAAAGTCCTCTCGGCTGCCTCTCCATGAATGTCCGGATGTCCCTTCTGCTGATACACAAGATACTGACCATCACCCCATCTTGTAGCAATGAGTACCACAGGCCAACTATACGTTGTGCAAGATGGGTAGCCGTATTAGTCTGCCTGTAGCAGCAGAAATGAGCAAGAGTCCAGGAGCACCATAAAGACTAACAAAATTTGTGGCAGGATTGGGGCTTTCGTGCATCACTATTCAGTGACTCACAAAAGCTCCTCCCCTGCCAGAAATTTTGTTAAGCCTGGGAAAGAGAAGGCTTGGACACGATTGCAGCCTTCAAATATTTGAAGGGCTGTCATGTAGAAGATGGAGCAGGTCTATTCTCTCTCGCTCCGGATTGCAAGACTAGATCTAATGGGTGGAAATCACAAGGGAGTCGATACCGGCTAAATAGCAGGAGAAACTTCTTAACTGTAAGAGTGGTTGAGCAGTGGGACAGACTGCCTCGGGAGGGGGTGGATGCTCCTTTGCTGGAGGTTCTCAAGGGGAGGCTGGACGGCCATCTTTTGGGTATGTTGTAGGGCTCTCTTTCAGCTGTGCTCCTGCAGAGTGCCGGGGGTTGGACTAGATGACCTGCAAGGTCCCTTCCAGCTCTAACATTCTATGATTCTAAGGTGCTCCTGGACTCTTGCTCTTTTCTACTGCATGTGTTGTGCATGTCTTTGGGCCGCCTGGAAACCTGCACCCATCCACTGCTTAGGTTGACCATGAGTTCAAGCACTGTGAGAGAAGGCAGAGAGATCCTATCAGCTATGCTGCCCGGGTTCGCTTTCATGACCTGTGTGCCAGTTGCTGCCGCATTCCTTTCTCTTCGCTTCTCCCCCCTCCTTATCACTGACCTTGTAGCCAGCCGGTGTCGTGTCTTCCCATCGATTAACCGTGAGACTGGTTTCCTTTCCCAGCCTCGGCTCTAACTGCCTCGGTCCTCTTTCCCGCCTGCGGGAGTCAGGCCGATTGGCCCATAGGTGGTGTTGGTGGGGGTGCTTTCGAATACCCTATCTCTCTCTCTCCGCTTT